TGTGTATAGCCGTTTGGTCCATGCCTCCCCACCTACAAACATGAAGAAGGACTACGGGGACGCAAAGCAAACACGTAGTCCTGAACCACCTCCTACATAAATGGCTTTAATTGTGATAGCATCAAAGATCTCCGAGCACAGCTTCTCAAGGTACAGGATTGGGAACATGATTACGATCCAAAAAATATCATGACTTTGATTGGGTCAAACATACTGTATTTTCATTTGTGAGACTTTATGAGTCAAGAAACCTAAACAAGATCCAAAAAGAAGCCTGGTACAATAGTCATGTTTGGTCGCTTATTGATACCATATTCGATGATATAAAAACGCTACAGGTTATTCGGTAAATAAAACAAAAAGATCGGCACGGACAGCTGTATATTAATTTTATTGTTTCGTAGCGGCGAAGCAGCAAATGCTGCAAGTACTAGAAGAAAAAATATTGATAGAGTAATTGGATCTAAAGATATTATCGCAAGAGCTTTTACTGGTTATAAATGTGATCTAATTGTAAGAGAAGAAAAAGCCGAGCATGAATATGCAGATGAATATGGAGTTGGTGAAACTGCTGTACATAACCTAAACACTAAGACAGTCGAAGAAAAGGGGATAAAACTGCCAAAGGTGATAAAAGATATGTTAGATAAATTGACTACAAGTAATCAAAACGAGTCTAAAGGCCTCTCAGTATTTGGAGTTCAAACTGCAGGTCTATCTATAACACTATTAGCTGCTGACAGACCAACTCCTTACATTACAAGAATAATAAAAATCAAAGACCTGTCTATATCAAGCGACGAATCCCACTTTACTAGAAGCATTTTACCGTTGATAGTTTTAATATGGCAATTTAAACAGCAAATATTAAAAGTGAAAGAACAAGTATTATCCACTCAGAAACGTAATTACCCAAAGGACACCAGCGAATGGTTAAATGCCTGTTTAAATTATGATGATGTAGCCGTTATGCCTGTCACCTCGACTTCAACTGAATACGTGAATAAAAGAAGAAAGGTTGACTCTTGAATCAACTGCTTATCTTGGATAATTTGTGAGAATACATGCTATACCTCACTGTCTGAAGTCAACTTATGCAATGTTTTTATCGGAATTCTCAAATATCTGTTTATGAACTTATATTTCAAGTAAATCAGTTTTGACAGACTACTAATAAAATTTCTTTTGTACGCTGTTTTTAGGACTTGCTTTGACAGTTTTTGAGCATCAGTGACATTAAACTGATATAAATAAAGGCTGCTACATCTTTCTCTTGTCTTAATAAACTCATATATATAAGTATAATTTACATAAATGAAAAAGTCGGTTCCAAAGTAAGTCCCAAAAAAGTACGAAGGGGCAATTTCAGAAGGTTCCACCAAAAAGATCAATGGTTCTGCTCACGTTAGGACGCTTCTATTTATTAAATGTGTGAGAACCATGAGAGCCATAATGAGAGCCATGGGAGCCATAATGAGAGAGTTGATACTTACGACGTCCCAGATGAGTCCATGCACTGTTTTAATGCCTTGGACGACATTCCTGAGTACGAACCCATGGAAGTTGAGAATATAAAAGATTTGTACGAAACTACAGAATTTGAATGACATCACTGGTATAAATGAGAGGCTGCCTGAACTAGAAGTGAAGAAACTTTTGGATTTGAAGAGCTATCAGGCATATCACCAGACACTGAAGAACAATCAGTCAGAAGCAGAAGCTCAAGGCACTGTAGAAATTGAGAATGGCTTGAAGCAACGCAAGAAGAAAGCCCCAGCAAAGGTCCGAGGAGCGTATATATCTTATTCACCTGAACAAGCACAAGAGCTTCTTGGAAACGCTTGCCTGGCGGTACGAAGCAACGAGTAAGTTGGGAGAGAAAACTCAGGCCTCGTCATACCGATTTTCTGTATGAGTTTTATGGTAAGACTCCACAAGCTGTGCTTTGACAGGCAAGAGATGCGTTGCTTGAAGCTTTTCACGAAATTGGTTCGATTACATTATCAGCTCTTCATAGACATCTCATCCTACATGCCTATTTAACTCTTGAGAAGCTGGAACCAATTGTATCTTCTAGAACGGCTCTTAGTAATCTTAAGCCGCGTAGAAATAAGTTTCTTGAGTGGAAAAATGATGAAAACATGAACTGGCACGAAAACTTGCATTTTCATTGATGAGGCAGGTTTTAACATGTATATTCGTAGAAATTTCGGTAGATCAAAGAGAGGAGTGCTCGTAATGAACATTTCCTGGAGTTTTTGGTTGGTAACATGGATATTTTGGATCAATTTGACATGAAGGGGCGCTATCTTGTTATGGACAACGCTGCCATCCATAAAGTTACTGAGGTTTAGAGTCTGATCGAATCACCATGTTTGAACCCTATTGGGTTGTTCTGGTCCAAAGTCAAGGATGGCATTAGGAGAGATTGCCTGACTGTAGATGACAATCTGAGTGCTAGAATCATTGAATCAACCAAAACCATATCTGTTGATGACTGTGTAAATTGAATAAGCCATTCGTATTCATTTTTCGATAGATATCTGGCTCTTGATCCAATGCTCTGAGAATACAAAGTAGAAAATCTATCCGCATAATAAAAATCGCTGTACGCAAAATAAAAACAACTATCCGCAAACCTATAGTCAAAAACCAATAGTGTCGACATGACATTTTTGTAAAAAATTAAGATCTTTATAGTGTAATGTTCCTTTGCTTGTAATAGTACAAAGTTTTCTTATTTCATAAACAGTATATGACAACCAAGATGATATGTTGTATTCTCCTTTTCACTTTTACCTTTTCAGACGACTAAAAGAAAAAGAAATCATATTATTTAAACTGATGGGAGGGAGAAACGACGTGTGTGCCACCTTTAATAAATAAAGAAACAGACATTGAATCCTCAAGATAGCAAACTGAATTCAAAAAAGCGATGGCTTGTTCCAATCAGCTTTACCTGCCCCTTATTTGTCCATTTCTGTGTATTATTCTGATGAAATTAAAAAATTTGACTAAATAAGCTCTATTATGATCTAGAGAGAATATACCCTTTTTATTTTATACAAAAGTGTCATTGTAACTATAAAGTGCAATTAAAATAAGCTTCATCTAAACCAGAGAACCATACCCATTCTTTAATCCGGGATGCCCCACAACGAGTGCTTCTGTAGATGTATTACCAGCACTATTTTGACGTCTGATAATATCTCTTTCATTCTTTTCATACTTATCTCCAACATATAATGCTGCTCCAACCACATTTGTCCACATGAAGAGTAAATTAAATAAAGGTATCAACTCTAATGCGACAGCTACAGTTCCGAATTGACAATAGGCTGATCTATGCTGCCAAGCATACTTTCTTGATTCACTCACGCCTAGTCCACGAAATTCCAAGTCATAGTGAATATGATGACCCCAGCTACATACACAATACTATTAAAACAAAGTAACGAAAGAAAAAGATATCAAGTTACCATGCAACCCAGCCATTAATATAGCAAGCGACAAATGTACCTACAACAGGCACTAAATGTAACGGAGATGTAATAATTAATATCAGAATCTATCAAAAACCGTTAACCTTCTTTTTTTTTTTGCTGTAATTTTATCTTTACCTGAGCCAAGAGAAGTAGCCAAACCAAAGCTAAGCCTGAAGAAATGCCTCGACAGCAAAGACGAAGTCCAGAGACAGGAACACGAGTTGCAAACATCCTATCAAGCCCCCTTGCTTTTAGAGTTGCATCAAATAAGGCATCTTGATAAATGGGCAACACAATTGCAAAAAAGAGTAAATCCAGCACTGCCGATTCAAGCAAAACAAAAATGACAGACACTATCCAAGCAAGCCAAACTGGACAATGAACGTTGATGAGAGCATGAGCTTGAAGGGGTAAAAGGTATACAAATGAGAATATCAGTGAAATGAGTCCAAAGACAAGTGTGAGTAAAAATGGACAAAGCGTTTTGATCCACAGCTAAAAGAGAGAGAGAGAGAATTGATAAGGAAATCTATTTATTTTTTCTTCAACTTACTTGAGGATGACCAACAAAATAAACAATGCCTGCTACAGGATAAGCATAAGGCGGGGCCATGATATAAATAAGAAAAAGAAAAAAGGAGAAAGGGTTTATTGTTTGAGAGTTATTTTTTAAGCCAATTTTCTTTTTTTAGATAAAATAAACTTTATCAAAAAGTGTGCATATACATGGTTTATTGTTAAAGAAGTGCATGATGAATACATTGGAAATATTAAAGGGGGATGTTAGACTGTATTGGTAATTGTAGTGGTATCAAGATTATTTTTGGAGCATTTATCCTTCTTTTGCCTTTGATGACTAATAATCCTGCTGTAGATACGTTTTCCATGAGGGGCGTGTCGAATGGTCGACAGGAAAGGCCGAATACGATCTACAAGCTAAATCAAATCAGTTAGCTCATCTTTATATATATTATACAACCATATTACCTGTTCACGCTGATCTTCATCAGCATAATCCAGCGAGGTCTGAATGACATAGTTTGCAAAAGAATCTTGTACTAGCCTATCTATTGTTTCGCACTCAATCAGTTCATGGACCAGCAAACGTCTAGTTTGTGGCGATGCATTACGTATGCACTAAAAACACATGGTTAATTACTACTTTTTTTGTCAGTCATGCAATCTACCTTTTCTATCACATTAGAACTGAACTTTTGTATTGACAGAGTGCAGACATGATGAATAAAGTGCTGATTGATACTTTCTATATAATTTGAAACTTGCAAATCCAAGATATACTGTACAACATAGTTGCCAAAGGGATCCTGAACAAGCACCAGTGTATGCTTCGATATCTCATCCACAAGCTGATCCTTTTGCTGTGGTGTAGCAAAATCAAGACATCTTTGCAGCACACAGCATCCGTGCTTATGAGACGCTACTTCCACACAGTGCTTACAAACAGCGTTATATATAAACTGATTATACTCGCTAGATAAATGACGAAGGCATTTTTGAATAACATGGTTGCCGTTCAAATTCTTGATCAATGGGGCAACATGAGCACTCAATGCAGATATAATGTACTGAATCTATTCGTTATATTAGCTACAAACGCCCTTTTTGTTGACATTTACTTCAATTACCTGCTCATGAGTAGACACGCACTCTACCAGTCTCTGAACTGCTCTTGTACCATGCATATTTAGCGCGATATCGACAAGGTGTGGACGAATGATTTGAATCAATTGAATTCTTTGTTCATCTTTACATTTTTCCAACAGTTTTTGACATAAATAGTTACCAAAAGGATCTAATCATGCCTCTTTCTGTCAATCATGATGTCTATATACATGTATGCTTTTTTTTACCTATCATCAATTCAGCAAAGTGGCTGTAAATGTCATTGAATATCAAGTCCAATTCCTCATTGGCGTTTTCCTCAATCTTTCTTTGCAAAAACCGACACCCATTTTGATCTTTACATAGATCATATAGCCTACCTGCAAAGTCACTGACACTTGCATCCACAAAGCGATCTTGGTTGGCACTCGACCGTCGATTGGTATTATAGTTCATATCATGTTTAGCGTGTCGTCCATTTCTAGCCTTTGTCTTTTGATAAGTCGTATTCAATGATGAAGCAGAAAAAGGTGTTTGCAATAGAGGACCATGACTACTAAGGGTGTGCTGTTGGTAAAGAGATGGTGTAGCAGAGCTCATCATGTGAAACCGCAATTCTTGAGATAAAAAGACAGAATCCACAGGGTAATATTGGCGATGTATCTCTTTCATGGAACGTCGATGGTTCACGGGATCTGTAGTTGAATAGGTAGATTGTCTGCTTTGAGGGATAAAACTGTCATTTCCGTATCGGTCATTGACCTCAGGATTCCACTCATGCGAATAACGTCTGGTTGGACCGGAAATAGATTCTGGAAGAAGAGGATTGATCGTTTTAGGCGTGAATGACGGTGACCAAACATTTGATGTGCTTTCGGTCAGTGTTGTTACCACTGGGAACTTTTTCAAGTTAATAAAATGTAAACTTGATAACATATGAGCTTACTAGGTTTTTAATTGTTGTCGTATGCTTTGGTACTGAAGGATGATGGATAAAGAAAGCAGCACCTGCATGTAATGAATCAGGATGAGTGATCTTTTACCCTTTTCCTTTCTTTCTATACCTTCTGTATTGCTCTGTATAGTGCCTTGCAGTCCCATATGTGACCCTAATCCATTCGTCAATTCTTGAGCAAGTGACGATTCTCTACATATTTTTTATATAAGTAAAGAATCGAGTTGTGATCAATGTCATATACCTATCGTAAGGTTCATTGAGAGATAACTTTGAGTTCAGTAGTAGATCTATATGGTCATCACTCGAATTTCTTCGTGAATTGGGCACAGATCGAGAGAAAGTTTTGGTCATGCTTGCCAGTGGTGGCGGTGTAGGATAGGTCATTTGATTGATCAAGTCGACTGGATCAGAATTGATGGAAGGCAAGATTTCTTCGTTGTCACTGTCCATCGTGGCAGATCTGTTTATGTTTTAAAGAAGCCTTTAACTATGTGTGTATTTTTTGCTTTTATTATAATAATATAGTTTTCGCGTTGTGATGATAAATTTTATACAAAAGAAAGAGAAAAAAGAAAAAGAGGCCGATTTTTTGTATAGTTATGCAACAGAGAAAGAGAAATGACATCATAACAAAAATGTACTAAAAGGGCGTTACCATGACATTAGATTAATGCTGCTTTTGTCTTTTATTTGCTTTTTCCCATTGTTGATACTCCCATTCAACTACGTTATCGATCATTCTCATATCTTTTAAATAGATCATCTTTGCTAAAGGTGAGTCAATGATGGTATCGATGATGCCAGTTGAATAGATCAATTGAACAAGAGCGAACCAGCATATACCAAAACATGTGCCAATGCATGATCCAGCAATAACTTGGTTTAGCGTATGATATCCTAAATAAACTCTGTAACAAACAAGTCAATATATAAAAATACAGTCCAATTTTAATAAGGTTATTATTCACCTTGAGATGGATACTAAAATGGCAAGTAGTAGCATTAAGTTGCTTATGAGCACCTTCCGGATACTTTGATGAAATGAAATATTCTTCATCAAATAAAGTGCTCCATAGACTGCAAAATACCAAATGAATTGAGAATGACTAGATGGCATACCATATCCATCACCCAAGTGAGCTATCGTACATTTACATTAATTTTAGGATAATCACCAAGCTATCAATGGTTTACTTGCAGTTTACCGTATGGCCTTTCTTGTTCTATTGCCTCCTTTAGCAAATAATTGATGACCTCATTCAAAAGTTGTCCTAAAAGCATCAGGATCCCTGCCATTTCACGACGAGACACAATAACAGATGCGTAGAAAACGAGAATGGCGATAGGAGCTAGGGTGATGTAAGCGAAAGCATATGATATTTTATCTTGAGGATCAAAATACACGTGAGTTAATGATATAGAAGCCAACGCATGTCCTTCATTGCTATGACAGCTGATTGTCATCTTGTAAAAAAGAAAAGAAAAAAAGGCACACAAAAAACTTTAATCTCAGCTTTCTCCCTTCACCACAGGCTTTTTTCGTGTATTTCTAAAAATAAAGAACTGTTTTGTACGACAATGCAAAGTTTTAACTTATTTGGAAGAGCTATTTTCGACGTTGAAATTTGGTTAACAAAGATACAGTGAAGGTATTACCATCAAAAACAAGGTCTCTCAGAAGTTGTAATGCGGGTGTTGCAGCAAAATAACAAGTAAACTTCAATTTAAGCATACAACGACGTGAATCCTTTGTCTGAAGACTAGTCTTGGAACACTTGACCTCTTTATCTACGTACTCTGAGGTGGTCTTGCAAATGGCCTTTTCGTACAAGTGTTCTTTAAATTATCAATAGTATCAAGATATGAATTCCAAATAAATAACAAGAAGTATGGGACCTGCCGCTGATGAGCACCTTAATAAAGACGAACTAGAACGTGAACAGAAACTTATCATTGGGCGTACTATAGAAGAACATCATCTTGTTTTATTTGGGGGCTATCTTGTCGTATTTACCCTATGAGCTATCAATTGAAGGCTACAAAGGTTTCTGTGAGTTAAAATTCCAATACTAAGCAGATGACATGATAAAGTTTTTCGGATTAAAGAAGTTGGATATATATGTGAGCAGAAACCAAATTATACCTATGGAGTGTACGCAATCAATCTGATGGGCTATTTGATCTCTGGAGAGAGTCTTGCTTAGAAGTCCACCAACACTTTGAAAACAGAATGGTACTCCTTTCACAATTAATTTTTCAAAAGGTCTATTTCCAAACGCAAAACACTGTAATATTAATAATAGAGAAAGGGGATGTCACTAAAGAGCTTATCTTCAGACTCTAGCTAATCACAGTCATTAAAGCATGACTTTCTTTCTTTTAAAATGTCCGTAACGATATTGCTATCAAAAAGAGAACACAAATATGATACTTGTCCTCTTTTTTCCCTTACTTTTATCAAGAGAATTAGGTTACGTGCAACCGTGTTTACTGCAAAGGTATCTCTTCAAATGACAACTTAGTCACTAACATCTGAAGATTGCAACTGACTTTAAATTGTTGTTTTTACTTTTCAAGACTTTTTTTTTCCTCTTTTTCGCCCTATCTTTCTTTCTTTACCCCCATTTTTGATAAATGTCTTCAAACGCCTCAAAGAGAAAGTTTGCTTCATTAACACGCAGTGAAGTGGAAGAGTGCTTACGTCAACAAAAGCGTATCAAACTAGAAATTCAACAGCTACCTTGCCGTAAGCTTAAGTTGAACGATAGTAATAGCACTGCTATTTCTTGTGGTAATTGCACGCGTAAGAAAGGTGATTGCTCCTTTGTTGACTTACGAGCCTTCAAAGTCGAAGCCGATAACACCTTGACTTATGGTCCATACTTTCCTTCTGCTACAACAGAAGATCCTTTGAAAGCTAAACTTGCTATTGCAGTTAAACCCAAGCCACCAGCTAGTACAGCCAAGCAGTACATTCAAAAGTACGTTGAGCCAGTACTGAGACAGATTGTCGGCGATGAAGAACAACTTACTACTGCTTTGAGCGATGAATCGTCTGTCATCAACCGTAAATTTGTTGGTGGCTACGGCCACAGCTGTGACAGTTGCTTGACTAGCATATTCAACTATCACTATATCTGCGCTACTTGCGCTTATGAAATCTGCCCTTCATGTTTCAAGGATGCCAACTTGATGAGGTGTCTTCATTGCGTCCATCATACGCCTGATCATTTCGTTTTATTTAGCAAGTACTCAGATGATTCTTTCTCTGAGCTCAAGTCAAGTCTTTTCAGAGAACACCGTGGCACGAAAAGATCATTCTCTGAGGATCAACAGGAATTTAACGATACCGAGATTGTCATGAAGAGCCCATCTGATGATATTGAAGTCTCTTCAACCCTCTCATTCAATACGAGCTTAAAGACATGTAAGGATAAATTTTGTTACGCGCTTATTTCCTTATTAACTTTCTCCAATAGCTGAATCAGCCTCTAATGTGGTACATGCTCCTCCCAAAAAAGCCAATATTGTTACCGTTGAAAATTCCTTATCCCCCTCTACTACCATCCATAGTGCTTCTGAATATACCACTACCAGCGCTGCCTCCTCCCATGCGCCTGATTCCCCTACTCCCACTATGAATACCCTCGATACTAATACATTGAACCCATCATCTGATACTAGCCGCTCCTCTGCCACGAGTCTGTCTATTCCTGAATGTACTATTACCTCTGATGAGCACCTAGTTATACCACGCGAAAGCATAACCCTAGAACAATTCCAGGCTTATTGGAAACAACACAAACCTTTAATCATTACCAATTCACTAAAGGACGCTGATTCTGAATGGTCTCCTGAATATTTTATCAAACATTACGGAAAAGATCCCATTGAAGTCATTGACTGTAAAGATTATACAAAAAAAAACAAGTCAACTGTGAAAGAGTACTTTGAAGGCTTCTCAGATCACCGCAAGCGCAAGGCTTTGGCAAAGAAACTGGGAACATCTGAACTTTTGAAAGTCAAGGTAACATAAAAACTCTATTATAACATTTGCATATGACTGACAAAGTAACTTATAGGACTGGCCACCTACTGAAGATATCGCAAACAAGTTTCCCCAGCTCTATAAGGAGTTTATGGCTACTGTGCCAATACCTGAATACAGTGCAACAGATGGTTATTTTAACTTGGCCAATCGTTTACCTACTGAATTTCTTCCTCCTGACCTTGGGCCCAAAATGTTTATTTCATATATGTCTGGCAACACTAACCTCCACTGCGACATGACTGACGCGGTCAACCTTATGTATTATGCCGGAAAAACTAATAACACCAATCACGCTGCTGCCATTTGGCATATATTTGCTGCAAAGGATTCTAAAGCACTGTCAAAATGGCTAAAGAAGCGTCACCAGAAATTTCTGAAAAAGTGGCATCCCATCCACAGTCAGTCGTTATACATGGATGACAATGAACTGAAGCTACTAGAAAAGCAGACAGGTATTAAGCCTTGGAAAATATACCAGAATTGCGGTGATGCCGTCTATATACCAGCTGGATGTCCACATCAAGTCTATAACTGCACAGAAGCTATCAAGTGCGCGGTTGACTTTGTCAGCCCTGAAAACCTTGAAACGAGCCTATCGGTAACTAAGCAGTTTAGCGAATTACCAAAGACAGATGCTTTACAGCTCAAGTCTACTCTGCTATTTACTTGGAAAGAGATAAATGAAAGCTAACCTATACCATAAAAACATGTAATAAAGCATAAAATATAAACATAAGCCAAGTTTGTCTCTATATAACTAGAAGACAAATGAATAATATATTATTTGTTTTATACCTACCGAAGCGCTAAGGAATACACTGCCGTTATGGACAGCACATTAAGTCCACAGTACCATTAGTCTTTTGAAGGAGGGAGGGCCTTCATTGTCATGTTTTGATTTGTCAACAAAGATGTGGTATATATTTAATACACTCTACACATCGGGATTCCACACCGTACTATAAGATTCACACTTGAGGACAGCGTGTACTCTTCGCTTTGATCCAGCAATGGAGATATTGGTAATATACTTGGTCAAACACGTTACAGATCTGGCTCGTTAAATACTTGTCAACATAAACAAATCCGGCCCCCTCGTTGGATTGTTTGCATTTTCGTTTGATTTCTTTAGTAATACGTCTAGTAGGTGCAGCTCATTTGCTTTTCATACTTGAACAAAAAGGACCATCTTCGAGTGCAACGATTCGCTTCCATTGAGAGGAGGAAGGGAGGTCAGCAGAAGGTAAAGGTTCATGTTTGCTTTTGTTTGGGTTTTGATTTTTAGCGCCAACTGTGCTTGATGTGCCATATTTCTTGCTGTTTTCAAAGAGTCTTTTAACAATTTCTTGAGTTCCTTTTTGCTTGTTGATATACACTTTGAACTTTAGCTTTTGAGACCTATGCCATACGCAGCGTTATTAAAATACATACCATGTAAGAAAGCGATATACCATTTATCTTGACAGTAATAGTTATGGATTCTTTGATAGTTTTGTAGGCGTGTAGAGGTAGCTAGAAAAAACGAAGTCAAGTTTGCAATTTTTAAAGTAGGCAGTTCACTAATATACCTAAATTCGTCTAAATGACATTCTTGGTGTTCTTTTCGTCTTCTTGTAGCAAGACTGTAACCACATAGATGATAGTGTTCTTGCAAGCTTGTAGTTCAGATACGTTCATATTCTGTAGATTTAACTGCAGTAAAGATAGTTGATATACCAGGATCAACATCCCAAATTTCTGCATCGTCAGCAATATCAGTAAAACCTTTGGGAGCCTTTGGTTCCCTTCTAGGTTCACCTTGGATGGAAGCAGCTCTCTTAAACATGAAGAATACAGCATAACCATCAGTAATGATCACATTTCTACAATGACAGCATTTATTTAGACTAAAAGAAAAGACATGTAACTAAGCGTACGCAAACTTCTTTGGACGTGAAGTCAAGCTTTCAATCGTCTTGTAGCTTATTTTTAAAAAATCAAAGACATTAAATACCATGAAGTTAAGTCATTATTGTCGTAAAACAATGTCTGCTTAAGGACTGACATTGAGACAAACGATTGTAATCAGTATGTGTAGAGTGAATTCATACATTATAAGATTACGTGCATACACTTTTAGTGATAAGTCAAATTAAATAGAATCCCTCTTTTGAATATGAATCATTACTTCTTTATATAAAAGGATATACTTCTTTAAAAGATGACCCTTCTCACGGTAAAATCAGTAACATAACCCAGATCATGAAATGAACAATAAGATCAGTGCCAGGAACGAATTAAAAGTTTTCTTTATGAATTCAGGAACCGTTAGTCAATCACATTCTCAGTAATTATAATTCACGCTTAGAATAGTAGCTTAACAGCCATTTGATAGCAACTATAAATAGTAGATCCTTTATTTAATTGTATGTTCCTTCTGCCTTTATCTCAGAATTAAGATTAGTCTCAAAGAGTACTTCTTTTGTCTTTGTTGTGTGTCTTATAAACCATTACATAACAATTATCATTCTTTTGACCTGGTTTGATCTTGTTATCACATTGTTTGGCAAGCTTCCAGAAAGACTGATGCTCAATCTTGTATAAAAAAAGTAAAGAAAAGTACCTTAATCCTTGAGGGTCAGTGTACTTGAGAGGCATGAAAGTCTTGTCTTGAATTCTTGCTTGTACTGCTTTGATAAAGCTTTGGACAGCATCAATATCCTTTTTATCAATGTTCTTCAGTTTGCTTGTTATTTCCAAGGGCTTGTTGGAATTGATAGCAGTCAATGTGTTTTCCTTTAATGATCTGTACTTGCTTGTATTCAACTTCTTGACAAAAGGAAGCTCTTGTGATTTTCTGTGGACGTAACTGCTTGGTGCTTTGCCTTGAGGCTTCGTTTCTTGACTGAGCTTCTTTTGTTCCATTTCCTTCTGTATAAAGTGTGGTTATTTCATATAAAATTGAGATTTGGCATACAAATTAGCCTTTACTTGGTACGTCAGCATCATTAGAAGCATCGTACATTAATCAGAAAGTAAGAAAGTTACTGATAATGGTTTCATATATTTCAGTTCGGTCTACAGTGGATGACCAGGTAAACTTGAGGTTTATCTTTTGTTGAAAGATATGTTTGACTGTTAGGCTATCATCACAGAAGTAAGGAGATGTTTTTTCGGATAAGGCTTTAAGAATATGTCTAAGAGTCCTGTCTTCGTAAGTAGATCATACGTAGTTATGGATCAGTGTTTCATATTGCTTGGCCATAGAAGATGCAATGGTCATATATCCTTTACTTGCGCGCTTGTACAAGTCGGGTTGAGTAAGAGAAGTAGATTCACAAAAGGCCTTGAAACTCTTCTTGATACTATTAGATGCATGCTTTCCTTGGCCATCAAAGATGGAAAACATGCTATAGAACAAATTTTGAGCCATCATAAATAATTCTTCACCATCCTCGAGAAGTTCCAAGACATAGTAATTAATAAAAATAGATCCAGCATACACCAGTTGAGTGATATGGTCAACTACTTCTTAAATCAAAGTAACGAACTTGGGATATCCACAGATATTAGCCAAAGATATCTTGATTACAGAAGTTTTCTCAGCGGTATCTTTAGGTTTTGGAAGCTTCGTTTTTGATTTATTCATAGGACACAGCTTGTTGGAGGAGCAAAAATGATTGCTCCATCACAAGAAGGGCACCTAGATTGTTTTTGTTCGCTAGTTGCTGTCTTATTCTTTTCTTTCTCCTTTTAAATGCTTCAACCTTATCAAGCTTACTTATATATTTCTTATAGGCCTTGATAGGAGCAGAAGTACGACTAGTGGAAGGAGTAGGAGCATGTAATACAGCTTCAACACTCATATCGTTGTTGGCTGTAGGCATACATACTTTTTCACTGGTAACAACATTTTAAGGATTGAAAGCAGCTTTGTATTCTTTAGCAGTTTTCAAAGAAGTACGGGGGCTCTTGCCTCTTACAGCAACATGTTATAAAACAGATGAAACTAATAGACGCTATCTTTACCTTTTTTAAGTAATGGTGTTTCTTGAAAGTCATCACCACTTGTTTCAAAAGATGTATATTTGATTAAGTTTGTTTGCATTTGTGCAAATAAAGAAGGGAGCCCGCAATAGGCAGCTAAATAGACTCTTGATATGTCATGTCGACTTTATAGCTTACATACTCTTTTCTTTGTCTCACTTTGCCTTTGAAGACAGAGTGCTTTCGTCTTTCTTTCGCTTCATGTTGAAGTAAAGAAAAGAAAAAAGGAAAAGTAGCTGCGGACATCCCTGTCGTGTTAGATTAACAATATATAATACTTTATTATTAATTAACCATTTTTTCTTTAATAGTAAAATCTATCCTTGAATGAAAAAGCACTCTACTTTTGATACACTACACATCATGCTATAATCCTCAAAGTACTTTTCTTTATAAAAGTGATGGATAGAGATACTAAAATGGTACAGGATGGCCATGGACCATCATGTAACATCAGGAACAGTGATCGAGGAAGTAACAGTAAATAGAGAAGAGAAGAGGCACGGACCCTAACGTCACTCATATGTTCCATGAGGAAATAGCAGTACATAATTTGCACACATATATGCAGCATGTGTCTGACTTATTATTTGAAAGCGAAATTCAAAGTGATACTGATCACGTACTGAAGCGCTGATAATTCCAGTATATATATATATTAGTGATTTACAAAATCAAAATAAGAAAGAGCTCATTATTTACAAATAGTGTCATTTTATATGAGAACAGAACGACTAATGATTCTTGAGTATGTCGCTTTATATTGCTTTCAGTTTATTCTTCTTCTTTTCTCATTTGATGCAATACAGGAAATAGAGAGTAGAATGTATACTTTGCTGTAAGATTATATTCAACTTATTATAAGGCTTCAGGCCAAATATGGCGCTTTCCAACCTGCTTCAAATTATGCCACTCTTGGTTCTACTGCTAATGTTACCTCTTCATATAATTCTGATTCGTCTGCTATTGTCAATATCCTTGTCTCTGCTGCTGAATTCATAACCGATACCAATAGCTCTTCACTAAAAGGAGCTGGCGTAAAAATGAGTTGACTTTTTAACTTTGGGGTGGAAGGGCAGAGATCTATGTTACTAAGATTGTAAATTAAACTACGCAGATAATTGTTATGCTTTCTATTGAGATACTTTAAAGAAAAGCTAAAACATAAAGTTTATGCTTTTAAGCAGGGAAAGGGCTATCAGGCAAGCTATAATTGCAAACTTTTTATTATATGCTTTATAACGAAACGGTTGCTGATAAAGTTTTTAGTGCAGCCATTTGATGTTGAATGGGACTTGGGTGCACTTGCTACTGTAACAGATAAAGCCAATGCCAAAGATCTTGCTTTGATATCATTACTATCTCATACTTGATTCTGATTAGCACCATGGTCAACGGTACATGTCTCTGGGCTACTTTAAAAACTATTTGTTTTGCTGCTATTTCACAAACACGCTAGAGGTCATTCAAACTGATCCAGATCACTTGAGAGTAGAATTTACTTTTTCTGTATGTTGTAAGCGACTCACAGGCTATAGCCTAGAGCTACAGTGAGTTTCCCCTGTTTGCTTTATGCCTATCTTCAAAGCAGCTATTTCGATTAACTTTTTCAAGAATCTGGATACATGTTCCTCAAGAAACTACATGAGACTGGATCACAAAGCTGTGCGGATTACATGCCTTGATAATAACTGAAGGCTCCTCTATCAGCGTGATAGTTTATTTTCGAACTTTATTCACACCTGCAGGTTCTAATCTGAATCGGATCATTTGGCCAGATTTCGTTTAAGGGATAAAGCAGCAGACAAAGCAGATGAATCCTGTTTTGAATTCAAAGGTAATCGAGCGTTCGCATATGAAAAAACAACGTTTCTTCTTAAAGCTTTTTACAGTCAAGGGGCCGAGCAAGATTCGATCAATTTTAAATTGCAGGAATGTCAACCAATATATTTGGTACATCTGTCTCAAGAGCAAAACTGAATACTCCAGTTTCAACGAGCCTAGTTTCGTATTGCAATTGTGTATGTCCTGCCTCTTTTAGAATATAGGGATCTTGAAGTTTGATTTCAAAAGAGACAGAGTAATTACAGTACTTCCATCAAAAATCAATCCGCGTCTCTCCTTGGACATGGTGGTATTGATTTGTTTATTTCGGGACACTAGCACAAATACAAACGTTGTGAAAGAAATGACATTCATTATGCGATTATTGACGGAACAGATTATATTACTGATTTTGATCACATCAAAAAATAGGTATGTATAAAGTAAAACTGGTTGACTTCTATTTGGCCATATTGGATATGCGCGCCGCTGAGCAAAACGACAATAATAATGATGCTTTGACCTTTCAACGGGGTACGCTTAATATCAAGGGGAAATAGTAGATTATGTCTTGACAACATTAAATTCAAGAAAACTACGTAGCTTGCCTCAAGCTGCTAAAGACAGCTAATTTTGCAAGTAAAAAAAAAAAAAAAAAAAAAAAAAAAAAAAAAAAAAAGAAAGCTTGTTCCTATACATTCTTTAACGTTGATGTAGCCTGAAATCAGCAAAAGTAAGCACAGCGCCAAAGGCGGATACAACCTTGTACAGTAACCAAAATCGAACAAGCTAGAGCTATTTATATCTGTTTGCATCTTCTACTACTTTCTAAGCTTGTATTAGCATAGATTACTGGAATTCACTGATATATTCTTATGTCTTTAGGGTCCTTATTACAAGCATTGCTCATCTTAATATCATCATTCCGTATTGTGATACTTTACTAGAGCTATATTCTTTTAAAAAGTCGTAGTTATACTATTTTTCTTAGTTATAGACTACATTTACAGTATCTTTCACGCTACAATCAATTGACAGGAACTTATAAGTAGAGATTAACTCAGCTTTTTTTTTTTCTTGCAAGGCGAGCTCTTTTCTTCATTTAATTTCACTTTACTAATAACACAACACCTCATACTTCAGAATTATTGCAATACTCAACGCTTCCTTGGTTTTAATGTTTTACTAGAATCAGGGTTAAATTAATTTGCAGGCAGGGCAAAGTACTAACAATAAAATTCTAAAGAACAGAAGTTATTTGTGACCAATGTATTTAATTATATTTGCAAAGGATTGTGGTTCATTAGGCATTCTAGTCGTCTTCATAGTAGTTTATAAGTGAGAACCAGTAATTACATTGGGAGCAACGGTCAGTGTTTCTAATTTTATTAGTACTATAGATATTACTGATGAGAATATACTGAGAAGGATGTTCTTCAGTATCAAATAACCCTATGCTGTGATTACTCCTGTATTGATAGTTGTTCAAATTGTTATCCTAATATATAAGAGCTTGGTTAGCATCTTTTAGAATGAAGAGATTATCGACAATAGTTAGTTTACGAGACCTATTTACCAGTGTGAATAATTCAGTCTTGAAATTTATGAAAACTACTCTGAATACAGAACTGTTCAATTTCTCTAAAGATATCATCACGAAAACGGCTTTGAATCACAGCGTCATTTGCAGCGTTTGCTAATTCTACTGCTTCGAGTATTCTTGCAAGAAATATTTGATGATGTTCTTGTTCTTCTTGGCGCTTTTCATTATATTCCAATTCGCAAATTTGTATAAGTTCAGGTGTCGTGTAATACTTTTTAAGTAAATTAAATAATTTTGCCTTAGGTCAGGTCTCGATTTTTTTTTTTCTGGATATTTCGTTCAGAGCAAAATTTTACCGCATGCCGTAATCATCCTGTAGGGATGGACATTGTAAATATCTTTCTTGAGCTTTTGATATGTAAGAGTAATGTTTTATTGATGAGTTTAGCTTTTTTTTTTTGCAAGCATTTGTGTTAAAATTTCTTGTTGTTTTCGGTTTTGTTTTCCCTCGTAGTGACCACCAAATGCAATTGCTTGTTTTAGCTTAATGACCTTGGAGAGTCTAAAATTTTTAAGACAGATTTTAAAGTAAAAAAGGTTAAGGTAACAAACTGAGTATAATATCGAGTCAGTGATTATCAGATCCTGATTATACAAAATCAAATATAACAAGTTTGAATTGATGTCTTCATAAGAAAAGAAGTTGTAAGATAGTTGAATTGAGAATAATACTGTAGATTGATTAATTTAATTAAACCTAGTGATCCTTTATTCAAAACATTGAGTTATTTATATTGATAAAAATAACAGGGAGAGTGATGTTGACACTATCTCATAGCATAGTGTGGGCACACTATATGATGGCACCATGTAGGTTGACAATGCTAGTCCTCATGGTGTGAGCTGAGGGCGCAATCAGGGGCAAAATATTGAATCTTGTTTACAACGACAATGTAATTTTCTGTAAGGCATATAGGTTGTTAATAATTCAAAGTGTTTTATTGAGTTTTTATGAGTTTCGGTGCGTGGAATGGCCACCAGATCTTGTACGTAAGGTCAAACATAAGAAGAATAAAAGCAAAGATAAGAAAAGAGATCAGAAACTTTTACAACAGAAGGTTCTCTGTTTATTTGAATGTAAGATAATAATATAAATTTAATCGTTAATAATAATCACTTGAATTGTCTTCCACAGGAGGGAGTATTTATATTATTTCTTTGTTTACAACCTCATCCTTTTCAATAAAGCGAATGTTTTCACAAGGCTGATATTTTCATTTTAGCAACAAAGGTCGCCAGCTCGACTAAACTCGGCTTGATCGGGTGTAATGTAACACAGTTCTCAAAAAAAAAAAAAACTTTAAATATCAAAACCTTAAATATCAAAACTTTAATTACTTTTTATCAAGTATAAAAGAGCAATGCTTTTGCAAAAAACTCAGGACATTCAATAAATCACCTACGATTTGAATC